TAGGGCTACTATTCGGGAAATTCTTGGGTAGAAGAATGTGAAAGTTATGCCTACGTCAAAAATTATCTCGTTAGGTTTGAAAGCTACAACGAACTTGAGGCTTGTTGTCGTGTCACTGACCGACCATTGACTACTAAAATGACCTTAAATCTAAACCATCTCACTGCCCCTTGCAAGATCTTCATCGTGCAATTGCACATATTGTCGTCCCTAGAAGTGGTCACTTTGAAGAAGTTAATCACCTTGATTTATTTATTCTTGATTCACTTCTTGTTAGTCATCAATTGAATTTCTCTTACATTTTCTTGAAACACATTCGGCACATCCACTCATCACCTCGAGTTTTAGGTCTACCTTATGGCATGCTTCTCGCTAAAAATTTTCAACACTTCAATGTGCCATTAGACGATGAACATATTCTTAAACCAAAACACACCGATGTCATTAACCTTAACACCCTTAAATGCATGAAAATCATTAAATGCGACGGGCAATGGGTATATCATACTCAAGGCTTCGACATTACCTCGGGTCCTACTACTTGGCCATTCACCAAAGAGTCAAAAGAGGAAATAGGTGTTGATGATGATGATGGTGGTGATGGTAATGATCACCGCAACCGAGACATAGGCCTACTCATCCGCAAGTTGCACCTATCCCCGGTCGACAAATGTCCGAAGATCAATTCAACGTCCTACAAGGACGTATTGACTCCCTTGCTACCATCGTCGCTAGCCAAATGGATTCTCTTGAGCGTAGGATGAAGCAAATGAGCTTATCACATGAGGACTTCTTTGCACACATGTACTCCATTTATCCTCGAGGCCCTCCTCCACCGATGAAAGATTAATTCATCGTGCTTCTTTTCTCCATTTTCGCTTTTTGAACTTATGTTTAGTTTCATATCATGACCTATGATTATTCTTGCACTTATGTCTTGACTATGGGGGAATTCCTTTTTACTTCATGGCCCCCATTCTTTTTTATGATGACAGAGGGGGAAAAATTGGATTGTGATTTGATTTAGTTCTATGCACTATGACTTGACTTCTAATGTGACTTCTAATGTGATTTACTTCCATTATTTATGAATGAAGTCTAATGAACCGGATTGTTATTTGATTCAGTTCTATGCACTATGACTTGACTTCTAATGTGACTTCGAATGTGATTTACTACCATTATTTATGAATGAAGTCTAATGTGATTTATTGAATTATGGAAATAAATATCTTTCTATATTACGCTATGAAAAATGATATAAACACAAATTCGATTCCCATTAATGTGTAAAAGATAGGGGGAATATCTTGCATATTTCTACAAATCACATGTTGTTTATCATAATTAAAAATGGGGAAATTGTTGACCTATGATTCAATATAACTCCACTTCTTTTGATTATAACAAACAATACACTTATATTTGTCTTGTTTTTTGAGTTTTTCATGAATAAATCTTCATAAGCATTCAAAAACTCAAATCGTCATCCGTTGAAGAACAAGCAATCAAAAGAAACTCGAAAAGAACAAGAACTTTGAAAATTAGAGTTTTTATAAGATGCTTCGATTTATATGTAAATGTATAACTCATCGATTTTAGCAAATGCATAAAATACAAACTATTTCTAATAAATTCATCACTTGTATAAATATGTTTTTGATATGAAAATTAGTTTTGAAAAAAATAAACATTTTGATGTAAAAATTAACTTTCAAAAAAACATACTTCGGTCGACCGAAGTATAAATCGGTAGACCGAAATGCTGCTCACCGGATTTGCGGCTTACCGTTTTTGCATTATGCTTACCGAATTTCAAAATACCATTATCGATCGACCAAAACTCACTGGTCGACCGATCTGATCGACCGAAGTGTTAGTCAAAACTCCAATGATTTGAATTCTACAACGACTGTATTCACACTTCGGTCGATCGAAATTGATCAACCGAAACTTCTGATTTCCAATCTTTTGATTTATAAATAGTCATATCTTTTGCATTCAATTTCAACAACCTACAAGAGCAATTGAGAGAATTTATTTATTGAAAATCATCGAACTTACTTGATTATATAACTCTATTTCATTTATTACAAAGAATCTCTTGATTGATTAAAATTAGGTTCATCTATTTCATCAAGATTTCTATTTTGCAAGAAAACTTCTCAATCTCATCTATTTCTCTATTCTTGATAAAAAAATTCTTTGATAACACTTATATTGAAGTGTAAATCTCATTTCATACTTAACTTGTATTATTCGTTAAGAGAGATCATTGGTTGAAAA